TAGAGGAATGAAGCGAACGAGTAGTGAAGACCCCCAGATCGTTAAGAAACCAAGAACTGAAGAAGAAGCGTCTACCTCTGTAGGGACCAGTGTCGGTAACGATGATCAAGTTGAATGTTTAACGTGTCATATATTGATCAAGAAAAGGTATTTAACTAATCATTTTAAAAGTAATGTTCACAAAAATAATCTTTTAAATGCACATAATTCTTTATCAAACGTAAGTGTTATTGAATCTGCTTTTGGAAACAGAATTTTATGTTATAAAATCAAGAGTAGAGTAGATCGTTTACAACCGTTAAATTTTGAAACTCCCGAACTATTTTTTAATTCTATTAAAGATGATATTTTATTTTTAATACAGGAGTGTATTCATCAACACACAATTTTTAAAGTAAATTTCATACTACATGCTGATTTTGTTCAGCAAACTAAAGATATTCATGAAACGTTCGATTTTCAAACATTTAACTATATTATTTGCACCGGAGATGACTTAAATATTTTTCTTTCATCTTTAAATGATACAATTACTAGTAAAATTAGTGCATTCGAAAAAAAAGATAGTGGATGGAGTCTAAAAAACATAAAATCTATAGACATGAATGTCAATAAATTCAACCCCCTTCGCGGTACTTCATACATAGATCTTCCTCATGATATAAAATTAAAAAAGGCTGTTTTAAATGTAAAAAACAAAGATTATTTTTGTTTTAAATGGGCGTTACTCTCAGCATTATATCCTATAAACAAAAACGCAGATCGGGTATCATCGTACGCTATACATGCAAATAAACTTAAATTTGACGGTATTTCCTTTCCTGTTAAAATTACTGACATAGCAAAGGTAGAGAAGTTAAATGATATTAGTATTAATGTATTTGGGTTAGAATATAATAAAGAAAAACGATGTAATTCTATAGTAGGTCCATTATTTTTAACGAAGTGTCGTAAAGCTAGACATATCAATTTATTATATTTTTCTAAGGATACGAACAATCATTATTGTTACATAAAGAATTTATCACGGTTAGTTAGTAAACAAATTTCAAAAGACTGTCATGCTATGTACATTTGCGATGCGTGTCTACTTCATTTTCCATCTCAGGAAAGGTTAAATAACCATGAAAAACATGATTGTGCTCACATTTGCACAGAATTACCAAACAGTGAAACTTTAAAAAAGAATTGGTTTGGTCAACCTATTTCAAATGATAAAATTAAATTTGATAGTTATGAAAAAAAGTTAAAGATACCATTCGTAGTTTATGCTGATTTTGAAGCATTTTTAAAACCAATAGAATCATGTTCTAACGATCCATCCAAACCATTTACACATAATATTCAGAAACATGAAGTGTATAGTTTTGGTTATTATATAAAATGTTCATATGATGATAAATTATCGAAATATGTAACATATAGTGGACCCAACTGTGCACAAGTGTTTATGGAAAGTTTATCTAACAATTTGAAAGAAATATGTCAAAAAAATAGATTTCAAAAATGTTCAGTTCCGCTAACAGATGAAAACAAACACCAAATTTCAAATGCAACCATTTGTCATATTTGTGAAGTTGAGTTAGCAGAACCTTTTTATGATTTTGATTGGTACACCGGTAGTTTTATAGGTGTGGCTCATGAATCATGTAGCTCGAAATTCAGAACACCACGTCATATACCAATATTTTTACATAACCTTAGTCACTATGATGCTCATTTTATTGTTCATGCATTAAACTTTTGTGATGGCGAAATCGATGTTATCCCTCAAAATAAAGGAAAATATATATCCTTTTTCCAAAAAATTTAAAATAAATAATCATGAAGTTATATTGAGATTCGTGGATTCATTTAAGTTTTTATCGTGTAAATTAGATCAATTAGCCAAAAATCTCAGTAATGATCAATTTCAAGAATTACGTAGAAATTTCCCTAAGGATGAAGATTTCATTCGTTTAAAACGGAAAGGGGTTTATCCATACGAATTTATGACTAATTATGATAGTTTAAAGCTAACATCGCTCCCTGATAAAAATGATTTTTTTAGTTCACTCACAGATTCCCATATTTCAAACGATGATTACAATCATGCTAAAGATGTTTGGGAGCACTTTGGTTGTTGTAATATGCTAGATTATTCAAACTTGTATTTAAAAACAGATGTTTTACTTTTATCCGATGTATTCGAAAACTTTAGAAATCTATGTATGAATACCTATCATTTAGATCCAACCCATTATTATACAGCTCCAGGATTAAGTTGGGATGCAATGTTAAAATATACACAAATAGAATTAGAACTTTTAACAGATTATGAGAAAATTGCATTTATTAGGTCAGGTATCAGGGGTGGTGTATCTCAATGTAGTAAACGTTATGCTAGAGCTAATAACAAATACATGGAGGATTATGATGTAGAGAAACCAAATTCATATATCACATATTTTGATGCTAACAATTTATATGGTTGGGCTATGTCTCAAAATCTTCCTACTGGTGAATTTGAATGGGTAAATCCGAATACAGATTTTAATGTGTCTGAAACATCGGACTTCGGTTTCATTTTAGAAGTTGATTTAGAATATCCCGATGAACTTCATGATTTACATTCGGACTTTCCTTTATGTCCCGAAAACATTTGTGTAGGTAATACTAAGGAGAGTAAACTAGTCCCAAATTTAAATAATAAAGTTAAATATGTAATTCATTACAGAAATTTAAAGCAATGCATAGAAATGGGGGTAAAACTAACTAAAACTCATAGAGTTTTAAAATTTAAACAGTCTCCATGGTTAAAAAAGTATATAGATCTAAATACAAAATTTAGAATGTTAGCAAAATCAGATTTCGAAAAAGATTTTTATAAATTAATGAACAATTCAGTCTTCGGTAAGACTATGGAGAATATCGAAAAAAGGGTCAACGTAAAATTAGTTACACACTGGGAGAACCGGGGTAAAGCTTTAGGTGCTCAAGATCTAATCGCTAAACCACAATTTCATAGTGTTTCAATATTTTCGGAAGACCTAGTTGCGGTTCAGTTGCGAAAAACTAAGTTGATATATAACAAACCAATTTATTTAGGGTTTTGTATTTTAGATATTTCAAAAACGTTAATGTATGATTTTCATTACAACTATATGATTAAAAAGTTTAGAAAAATCAATTTATTGTATACAGATACGGATAGTTTAATATATCATATATTTACAGATGATTTTTACACTGATATAAAACCTGATCTTTCCTCATACTTTGACACCTCAGATTATGATACAAATAATATTTTTGAATATCCAAAATTAAATAAAAAGAAATTAGGTTTTTTCAAAGATGAAAACAATGGTAAAATCATGAAAGAATTTGTAGGTCTACGATCTAAAATGTACGCTTTTGATTTAGAGAATAAGATTATAGCCAAGGCAAAAGGGGTAAATAAATGTATCACTAAAAAGATGACTATGAATAGTTATAAGTCTTCTCTATTTAAAAAGAAAGTACAATATTGTAGTATGCTTAGATTTAAATCGATTAAACACACAATTTTTACGCAAAAGCTAAATAAGATTTGTTTATCGTATAATGACACAAAAAGACATATTTTAGAAAATAATATTGAAACATTAGCTTGGGGTCATTATAAATTACGTTAAGGGTTGATATTTTTATCTCTATGCGTATACGTGTAATGATTGTAAAATTATGATATTACTATAATGTTACGTAGAGTTTATAACATATTTAATTATTGTTTAATTGTAAATAATGTAAGATAATAATGTAATTTAAGCAATATATATTAATTTTTTACAACAATACTTTCATTTTTTACATGGGTATTGATGAGTTGAAGTAACACACGTGTAGTATTGGTAGACTATATGCAATTCACTGCAGTCGAGCGACCGTAAATAATGTAAGATAATAATGTAATTTAAGCAATATATATTAATTTTTTACAACAATACTTTCATTTTTTATTTAATCCCTTTGAACTCTAGACGTGTGTAATGTTTCACTTTATTCATCCGTTTACTGCTATTGTAGCAGGACCAAGTGGATGTGGGAAGTCAAATTTTGTAACAAATTTCATAAAATCAGTTAAAGAAATATGTAATTGTGATTTTAATCAGATCACATGGTGTTTTGACGAAATGCAACCTTTATATAATTTACCAAATGTTAACTATCATCAAGGAATTCCAAATCTCAATATGTTTGATGGTGAAAACCCACATCTTGTTATTATTGATGATCTAATGAGAGAGTCTGATGGAAGAATTGTGGATATATTTACAAAAGGTAGTCATCACAGGAATCTTAGTGTATTTTATTTAACACAAAATTTATTTCATCAGGGTAAAGGTCAAAGAGACATTTCTTTAAACTCGAGTTATATAATATATTTTAAAAACCCTCGGGATAAAACTCAAATAAGATATTTAGCACGACAGGTGTCGCCAGATAATCCAAAATTTATTGAAGATGCCTACAGAGATGCAACTTTAGAAGCACATGGATATTTAATGGTTGATTTAAAACAGAATACTAATGATTTTTGTCGTATTAAGACGAATGTCTTTCCATTTAATGGTTATTGTACAGTTTACGTCCCCACAAAAGAGTTTAAATACATCAAGAACCAAGCAATTTAAATCATTTCTAAATGATGCATCATCGAGTCACAACGCATAAACATTTGCTTAACGCTTTGCATACGCTTAAACCAAAATATCAAAGAGCATTACTTAAAACATGTAATGAAGAAGAAATAAACTGTATTTGTGAGTGTATTCATAACGTTTTACAAGGGAAGGTACCTCTTAAAGATCAGGAGAAACAAAAATTGAATAAACACAAAAATATACTCCGTAAACTGATGCATAAGTGTAAACATAAACTAAGAAAAAATATAATTATACAAAAAGGAGGGGCTTTTTTACCAATAATATTAGGTGCAATATTGAGTGGATTAGTAAGTGGACTAGCTAGTTAACATGGAAAATGCAAAGAAAATGATACTTATTGAACCTGGATTGATTGAAAAATTAAAACAGGAAAATAAGGTTAATAGTAATTTGTCTCGATTAGATATTGAAATGCAAAACATTATGAATAGTAAGACGGAAGACCGTAAGAAGTGGATGTTATATTTACAAACACTACAAAGATACCTTCACTTTACCGAAGAGGATCGTCAACCACTCAGACTACCAATTTATTCTAATACATCTAATGAAGATTCAAATGAGTCTAAAATTGTCTTTAAAAATAAAGACAGCGACCTAAAACGTATAGTTAATGCCGAAGCTTTGTTGGGAGAGAATGGATCCATTAAAAGTGAAGAAAATGATACAAATCCACTTTACACACCAACTCAAATACTCAGTTTAATACCAAAAACTTATAATAAAAAAGGTCAGTTATTATTAAATTTAGTGGGAACAAATAAAAGTAAAATACATTGGGATAATGAAGGCACAGTCATAATTGATAATGAAAAAATTCCTGGAAGTAATATCGTTGATTTAATAAATGATTCACTAAGACCCTTAAAAAAAAGTGATCCGATAGGGTGGGATAGATTTGCTAAAGCATTAAAAGATATTAAAGTACCACTTACTTATATTGGAAACCCGAAAAGATGTGAGTTTATTAATCATCTTCAAGCAAATGATCTGAAAATAACCTCTGAGATTGAAGATCAAGAGTTTTCTACACCGAGCAGTGAAGATAAAAGATCTTTAAATAAAATACGGAGAAAGCTCGAATGGGAAAAATGGACCCCGTACTAGAAGAAATTAATAGTATTTATTATGATCCAGCTAACCCCGCTGGTTTTAGTAGTATTGATAAATTATCAAAAGCCATGAAGGGTAAAATGGATAAAAAGCAAGTAAAGGAATGGTTACAAGCACAAGAATCATACACATTACATAAACCCATTCGGAAAAAATTCCCCCGGAATAGATATATTATATCAAATATTAATGAACTGTGGCAAGCTGATTTAAGTGATATGCGAACTTATTCTCAATATAATGATGGTTATAACTACATACTTTGTGTTATTGATGTATTTAGTAAATATGCTTTTGCAAGATCAATGAAAAAGAAAAACTCAGAAACAACTAAAGAATGTTTTGAAAGTATATTTACTGAAAGTAATTCAACACCTACTCACATACAATCTGATAAAGGTACAGAATTTGTTTCAAAAGATGTACAAAAATACTTTAAGTCCAAAAAGATTAATTACTATACCACTAATAATCCTGATATTAAGGCCAGTATTGTTGAACGATTTCAAAGAACTCTAAAAATGAAAATGTGGCGATATTTCACTCATAATAATACTTATAGATACATAGATGTTTTACAAGATTTAATTTACTCTTATAATCACAGCATTCACTCTAGTATTAAGATGTGTCCACGTGATGTAAATTCTAGCAATATTATGACAGTTTGGACTAACCTTTATGACAGAGGATCAAACAAAGTTTCTTTAAAAAATCCAAAGCCAAATTTCAATGTGGGTGATTATGTTCGAATAACTAAATATAAACATGTTTTCCAAAAAGGATATGAATCAAATTGGAGTGATGAAATATTTATTATATCTTCAATAATTGATAGATCTCCATGGGTCGTATATACAATAACAGATTTACAAAATGAACCAATAGTTGGTACTTTTTATGAAAAAGAATTACAGAAGGTCACTTACAACCCCACCTCACAATATAAAATAGATAAAATAATTGACTATCGTTATTCGGGTATCAGAAAAGAAGTATTGGTGAAGTGGAAAGGTTATCCAGATAAATTTAACAGTTGGATTTTAGTTTCTAGTTTAAAAAAAATATGATTAAAGAAAGTTTTTATTTAACTTTGCTCAGCAATAGTTCAATGGAATATTTTCCTGATAACAAGACTACAAATTTTTCAACAAAATTACCAAAATCTATTAAATTAGAAGGTGAATGGTCGGTTGGAGTTGTCGAGTTTCAATATCCATGCACCATGTTTACTGTTCAAAATCACGAAAATGTTATATACATTACAAAAAACATGATAATGCCTAATGAAGATAAACCATCAACAGTGTACCTCAAAAAGCATATTCCAGCTACCAACTATGATAACGTTGAACATATTTTAAAAACGTTAAATGCTTTGGGAGAGAACTTAAGATTCCGTTATGATGAAATAACAAAATTTGTGTCTGTTTCCGTTTTGGATAAAAATATATCATCTGTAACATTATCACCCAAATTAAGTTTACAACTAGGTTATGAACCAAATAAAAATCTTCTAGAGAGAAATTTTGGAAAGTGTCCTGCTAATTTACACTTAGGGTTACCATCTCAACTATTTGTATATTGTGACATAATCGATCCTCAGATTGTGGGTGATGTTATGACTCCTTTATTGAGAATCATTTCATTAGATCCTACAAAATACATTTATGGTGCAAATAAAATGCATGTTTTCTCTCCACCTCACTACTTACCTGTTATGCGAAGAGAATTCGATACCCTGGAAATAAATATAAGATCGAGCACAGGACAAAAAATACCATTCCAGTTTGGAACCGTGTGTATTAAACTACATTTCCGAAAATTACAATAATGTATTCTCTTCCTGATCATCATAAATGTCCATATCAAAATTATTATACACATCAAGCCGGATCAGGAATCGGAGTAATTTATAAGGGTTCACCATATCAACGCGGTCATGGTATTGGGAGCTTCTTAGGGGGTTTATTTAGATCAGTTTTACCTTTACTTTCAAGTGGTGCTCGAGTAATTGGTAAGGAGGCATTAAACGCCGGAGTAGGTCTTTTATCAGATATGGTTCAAGCGCGTCCAATGGAAACCTCAATAAAAGATCGTCTAAAGCAAGTTAGCACAAACTTAAAACGAAAGGCTGATGATAAAATTGATCGATTAAACATGACAGGATCTGGGTATATAACTAAAAGAAAACGATTGCCCTCATTCATTCCACCATTAACTGCTAAAGTGAAAGCTGCAAAAAAACTTGGTCTAAAACCAAAAAATATCAAAGATATATTTTCAAATTAAATATGTCTTTTCTTCATAATCATTCTTGTGAGTGCGTTAAGTCAGAATTGGATTTGTTTGCACTACCGTCTACACAAACAAGCATTGAAAATGGATTGTGGATTCACTATAAACCAATTTCATCTCTTGCTGATGATGGACCTATCGAGTTTCAAGTTCCTGGTACAGGCGATGACTACATGGATTTGTCTCATACATTACTCCACATAAAGGCAAAAGTATTAAATCAAGATTCAACCAACTTGATGTCGGCTACCGTAGTAGCACCTGTAAATAATTGGTTGCATTCACTTTTTAGTCAACTTGATGTTTATTTGAACCAAAAACTTGTATCACCACCTAATAATACCTATGCCTATCGAGCATACATGGAAACCCTTTTAAACTATGCACCCGCTGCTAAAGAATCTCATCTTACTTGTAGTCTTTGGTATGAGGATACAGCAGGAAAAATGGATTCTACAGATGGTAAAAACATAGGATTTGTTAAAAGACAGGAATTAGTTACTGAAAGTAAGGAAGTAGAAATGATTGGACATCTGCATGGTGACATTTTCAATCAAGATAAATTTTTAATTAATGGCGTTGAAATGAGTGTAAAATTAATTCGTTCAAGAGAGAGTTTTAATTTAATTGCTGGGTCAAACGATGTAAAGTTTAAAGTTTGCATTACAGATGCAACTCTTATTGTTCGAAGAGCACGCATTAACCCAAGTGTGTTACTTGCACATCAGAAAGTTTTAGCTTCTACTACTGCTAAATATCCTATTACTCGAGCAGAAGTCAAAGTTTTAACAATTCCATCGGGTGTTCAAGGAAAAACTCTTGATAATATATTCCTAGGACAGGTACCCAAAAGATGTATAATCGGGTTTGTGAACAATTCTGCATTTAATGGTTCCCTTACTAAAAATCCATTTAATTTTGAAAACTATGGTATAAATTCTTTCAGCTTATATATTGATGGTCAACAAATACCTTCAAAAGCTTTACAACCATCTTTTAATAATAGTATATTTACATCAGCATATCATACTCTGTTCTCAGGAACTGGTATTCACTTTCTTAATGAAGGAAATGCAATCTCTCGTGAACAGTATGCTAAAGGTTACTGTCTATTAGCATTTGATTTGACACCTGATTTGTCAGCTAACTCATCATCTCATTGGAATCTCATAAAGCATGGTAGTGTAAGATTAGAAGTGCGATTTGAATCCTCACTAATACAAACAATTAACTGTATAGTGTATGCTGAGTTTGATAACATTATTGAAATAGATAAAAACAGAAATATTACTGTAGACTATAGTAGTTAAGTAAGTTATAATGTGTGTTGTGTATTAGGTTTATGTATTATTCGTAATGCATGTTATGTGTATGTAAGTTTAAGAAACATTATACAATTAAATAAAACAAATTATATGCAGTATATAATTTTTTATTTCATTATAACCCCTTATTTAATTTTATATAAAACACTATTTGAGTTTAAGCTTTACATAAGCACACTCACTAAACCACTGAACATGTTGCTGCCAAGGATCATCATCATCTTCCCAATCTTTTAAACCACCACCACAATGGAAACATTTGGTCCTGTCTCCACATCCAGTATAAAAGAAACCGGCTTCTGCAAGATCTTCAGGTTTCTGTCGCATAGCGAGAGGCCAGTCTTCAAAACTGAGCAACCGTCTAGATTTTGAACTGAAGAATGGATATTCAGCACTTAGGTACTGAATGTTCTTCTCTTTTTCTTCTCCACTGAGCATTGTAACCTTACTATTCAATGACGTGTTCTGTACATGTATACCACACTCATCTCTCCCTTCTGCACTTGTCATTCTCTCACGATCACAAGACAACTGGTCCTTTACACCACTCATTATTAATATATTATAGTCTAGCAAAGGATTATAAAATCAGATAGAATCTAATGAGTACACAGAAGTAATTTAAGGAAACAGAATCACATTCACTAATGATTGTTATTGTTAAAAAAGTATTTTTTAACTGTTTCACTTTCTGCTATTGTCTTTGTAATATTGTATATGAGGCTGTTTGTGTCATCGTAGATGCTATCATTATTATTCTTTATATAATATTTAATCCTCGTGGTGGCATGTTTCCAATGATCAGTAGTTGGAATCTTACATAGTTTCTTCATATCATACATTTCAACTTTTATTAGATGCGTCGCTTGGTTTCCGTCATCGGAATTAGTAGAAATGTATGATACACCATCTCTAGAGGCTCGTGCCACGGTTGATGATAACAGTTTCTTCTTTTTTATTTTTGGCGCCACTTCAAAAAACTGATCAAGCGCCGGCGATTTCCTTTTTACACCATCGCGTGTGTTATTAATCACGATGTCATCACTCTGTTCTTCGCATTGAGGGGAGAGTGACGAGTAGTAATACTGTTTATATGTATTTTCATCGAAGTTGAATGATTTCTGCAACAACACAGTTATCATGTTAATATCAATTTATTTACGCTTATGAAACACCACACACACGTTAGGAAACAGAAAGAAAAGAAAGTTTGTTAATAGAATATAAACACTTACCTCCATGGGTATTGATGAGTTGAAGTAACACACGTGTAGTATTGGTAGACTATATGCAATTCACTGCGGTCGAGCGACCATAGACTGATTGCATGCCGGCAGTTGTTCGACCTTATATAGTTATTTCTTATCTAAAGCAAATTCCTAAGCACACGAAAATTTATGACCCATCCCTTCGTAGCGCGTTATCTCACATCCCCTCGTGGCGCGTTATCTCACATTCCTTTCCTAAGCACACGAAAATTTATGACCCATCCCTTCGTGACGCGTTATCTCACATTCCTTTCCTAAGCACACGAAAATTTATGACCCATCCCTTCGTAGCGCGTTATCTCACATCCCTTCGTGATGCGCTGCACAGTTAATGTTTATGTTGCTAATAGACTACCCATGTATATTCATGTACCAACGTGTATAATATGCAATTTGGATACGAATGATAAACGAGTTCCATGACTCATCACAAAAGAATGCGATTTAATAATTAAAAAGCACTATAATTGAACATTCCTAGGTTATCCATTGAATAGATTGGTACTGTATAAATGTACCAATAGCAGTAATATCATGGATACACTAGATGTTCAGCGACATATGAAAAAGATTCATCCTAGTCTAGAAAATAATGTTTATGCTGCTAATAGACTACCCATGTATACTCATGTACCAACGTGTATAATATGCAATTTGGATACAGATGATAAACCAGGCTCACACTGGGTAGCTTTACATATCGATACGAATAGCATAGGTGAATATTTTGATTCATATGGACGAACACCTACACGATATCATCTAGAGTTTTTAAAAAGGAATTGTAAAAGATGGGTCTGGAATATTAATAGGATTCAGAATGATTGGACTTCAGTATGTGGTGAATATTGCTTAATGTATTTGCAATATAAGTTTCAGGGATATTCAATGTATAGTTTTACGAACATATTTACAGGGAACACATTGTACAACGATATTTTAGTGGATGAGATGTTCCGCTCATATTTTATAGAGAACTAGCAAACCAGGCCCACTTCGCTGGGCGTAAGTTAAAAGAAATTAAACGGGTTTTATAATTTTAGGTTAATTTAAATAGTTACTCCATAGAACCTTAGGTATCTATCAGTGAAAGACATACAGACAAAAATTGTAAAAACTGTTTTTTTGATGTTAGTATGTTATATACTTTGATATGTGTTTAATTAAAAACTGAGAATTTGAAATGAAAAACAGACACTTCAATGTTATGTATGTGTATAGATATGTAATAAAATTATGAAATGAATAAATAAAAATTGTTAGATGAGTGTGTTTTACTTATGATTTAGAGTAGCATGGTAGTTGATGACCAATAGAAGTATACAATCAAATCAAATATTATAAAATCATATATTATAAATAGTTATTTCTTACCTAAAGCAAATTCCTAAGCACACGAAAATTTATGACCCATCCCTTGTTAGCGCGTTATCTTCGGAACAATAGATAAGGAGAGCAACGGAGCGCTAATGAGGGTGCGAGGCCACCGGATATCAATCAGATATTTCCTAATTGATTTCCACATCTCCAGAACCGCGCATCGTACGCAAAAATGGATCGCAGATTCGTGATCAGAGCATGCCAAAACCTTTTTTTTTTTTTTTTTTTTTTTTTTTTTTTTTTTTTTTTTTTTTTAGGATCCGTAACTCGAGAATCGACCGTTGTAAAACAGAATCGTCCGTGAGTTAGCCCGTCAGTACCGAGAGTAAGTTTGCCAGTTTGTACCGGTTCTGGCTCGTGAGCCACCGTTGCAAAACAGAATCGTCCGTGAGTTAGCCCGTCAGTACCGAGAGTAAGTTTGCCAGATTGCACCGGTTCTGGCTCACGGGTTCTGGCTCACGAGCCAGAACCGGTACAAACTAACTACTAGTATGGAATAGATTATATTTTCGTTTTTTTTTCCGATATTTTAATAATTATTCTGCTATTCGGGGTGAAGAAAAATCTAACAAAACAAAGATCATAAAAATCAGTCCAGCAGTTCTCGAGTTATAAGTAGTGTAACTAACACGACTTTCTTTTATATATATAGATTATGCAATCTATGTCCCTGCCAAATTTCAACGAAATCTGTTTAGTGGATTCGGCATGAAAATGTAAGAAACGAGATAGACAGAGAACAGATAGTATAATATTAGCGATAGTGAGAACAGATAGTATAAATGGAATTATTAAAATTGATCAATATAGACCGTCCTAGTGCAGCGAGCCCTAGCTTTACCTTTTCAATGTAAAGAAGTGAATCATAGCGATGTTTTTAAGCGAACCAATGCCTCAGAAGTGTTTTCTGTGGAAATAGTAAATATTACTATTTAATTAACTAAAGATATATATACATAACGAACATATATACAGAACTGTTAAAAGTTTATGGAATTTATCTTTATCACACTAATTTTGTACCAATACAATTGCATAACAAAAGTATCTATATAATAATAAACAATGAAATAGAGAAGCGGAAGATGTTCCTTACATAATATATAAACAGTAACGCACTTTATAAGATTGAGATGCAGGTATGTTACGAATGATGTTACTCAATGTTAAAAACTTCATATCTTAAAATGTGAAAGGTTCAGTTAGTCCATTTTAAACTATCATAGATTGTATAAACATTTTGCGCTTTCAAAATTTCTACATATTTTTCATACTTAGTATTTACATTAAATTAATAATATTAATGAGAGACTTTCTCAAAAGGAAGTGCATTTCAAGTACTCTATTTGTATGTTTGTTTTTGTGGACTCTATATTTCTTCAATAATGCAGGTATTTTCTCAGGTAGAGTTCTTGTGTATTCGTTCTGAGTTCTGAAGTACAAAAAAACAAATATACGAGTAGACTTATGATGTTGTGAGTATATGTAAATTTTATAATTATTTTTATTTATAAAAGTGGTTTTGTCGTACATTTTTTTTTCATATCGTTTGATACTATATTATATAAAATAAATAATTATTGGATAGGTACATTTCGATAAAATTCGATGATTTGGAGGTTTATTTAAAACAAAGAATACGTTTTTATGTTTCACGTAACTATGTAGGTCATGCGGCTGAAGAAGATATCTACATATACATAAATGTCTTTGTTGAAGAACAACTTAACGAAGTTAAGTAATAGAAAAAATGAAAGTTTATTGTCTGTCAATAAACCAATTAACATTGTTATTTTAAACGTTTTATAGTAATTTAACAATTAAGTAATCGAGGCTAAAGATCTAAGCGATTAATTTATAGACATCATCTTCAGAAGATCTTTTATTTTTATTTTAGGGCCATTACAATTACGTTACTATAAATTCTACTTCCTCTGATATCTGTGAATTTACTGTTTACTGCCTCAAAATTTGCATATAATGATTGCATTAGGATTTAATTATAAAAATTTTTGCACATGACTTGTTGGAGCAATGTTCCTGTAAAACATAAAAAACTTAATCCCATTCGCAATGTAAAATAAAGAAGAAAAGACCATATCAACTAAGCCTGTTAATTTAGTGTGTATTTAAAAAAATGTTTTCATTATAACGTCCCCTATAAAATGTGGAATAGTAGAAAAGTTAAAAAACTTTTCAAATGTACGGCATCAAGGGAAATTAGCTTAACAAACTTTTTTATTGCTTCTTGTTTGACTTATAAAACATTAGTAACGTGAGTTAAATTCACTAGAGCTAGAGCTTTTTTGGCACAGAACTTATATAAAAAAATAGTATAAAGCAACATTTAGTGTGAAGTTAGTCGCTAGTCCATATCCATACTAATATTATAAATGTGAAAGTGTGTTTGTTTGTTTATTTGTTTTTCTTTTACGTCGAAAGGCAGTAACGGATTGGCGTGATTTTTTGTGTGGAGATAGTTGGAAGGCTGGAGAGTGACTAGGGGTTTTTTTCCACGGGAGATTTTCTCATTCCCACGGGAAAACACGTAATAAGATAACCCAAAAAATATTTACAATCAGAATTACTTGAAACTTAGTATTAATGCTCTTCAATTCAATTAAATAAATACGTTTTAGCATTTTTCGAAATTCATCCCCTAGGGGGGTAAAATAGGGGATGAAAGTTTGTATGAAACCTAACTTTATAGAGTTTTTTTTTGTAGTTGAGCGCGAGCGAAGCCGCGGGTTCTGCTAGATTATAATAAATTAAATTAGAAATATATCAAAAATCAAAATAAGTACAAAATACTTAATAATTACTCGTTCGTGACGGCAGATTAACAGTTCATGTCGTTTAATTCTCTACGTGGTTATATATTACTATGGTGGTCCAGTCACCAAG